AGTGTCTAAGAAATACATAATTTTCAATTCATTATATAACTTGCAAATATAAACTACATTTTTCTAAGGATAGAAACTATACTTCTGGGACCTTCATGTATTGTAATTCTACATAGTTACTGTTAATATGTTTTAAAATAAGCTTAATATATATAAAATGTGAGTTTGACATAGAAAATACAGTCTTAGATCATACAAGCACTCAAAAGAATGAGAAGGAAAGTTGCTTAGACTGACAGTCAAGTAAAGAGAAGAAAGTTTGTCTTACAAGAATATGTAGTGTTTCAGTGTACATATATAATTTCTATATGCAATACCATAATTTTTTTCTTCTGTAAGTCCCTTAGAAAGTTTGTAGGTATACAAGATTGCTTCTTTATTTCTTGAGGTGTTCTTTACATGTTGAACTTCAAAATGCACGTTTTCTACATTAGGATATAGAACACCTATATGGCATAGTTCCAGGAAATGTGTAGCGAACAGTGTAAATGCCTAGAATATACAACAATGAATATCAGTATTTTTAAATGAACTAAAAAATTTTGTTTTAACTATTTAAACATAAATTTTTAGTTTAACCTTCTAAGTAGCTTAGTAGAAATGTAGAAATGAAACTGATGAACTTTGAGGCTAACATGGTCAATTCATCTTAAAATGTTTTGAAATTTTATATTCAGTGAAGAAAAAATATTTGTTATGATTACACACACACGTATGTTACGCTATGAGAAAGAGAACAAATGCAAAAATCCTAAAAAAAGAAACCTGAAGATATTGAAAGGATGAAGTTTACCAGAAATAAAGCTACTAACTGAGGTAATCATTTATTAGAGAAGTAATCCACAAATGAAATCATAATATTTCCCTCAACTTTTAAAAACCTTTACTTTAAAACTAGCTTCCTTCCATATAAGTAGTTTTGGGAAAGTGAAATCAATGGATTGTCTTAGGTATTTGAAATTGCAAAGGTTTTTGCTTTTATATTTGCATTGTGTTTGGGATAGGTACTTAAGGGGAAAAAAGGTTGAGGACACTGCTTAGTACAATGATTCTTAAACTTTAGTAATCCCCTGGAGAGCTTGTTAAAGTTGCAAATTCTTGGTGTTTATCCCCCTCACATTCTAACAATCAGCAGTGTAATTTAGGGCCCCAGGGAACTGCATTTTCCCTAAGTACTTTAGGTGATTTTGATGGAGGCGGTTCAAGTGAATTCTGACCAGCACAGTGGCTTCTTGCCCAGAGTTACTGAAGCAGGAGGAGATATGACTCTAACTCGTTATGTTTTAAGATACAAGTGAGAAACTAAATAGGTGATTAGTGGAAATTTTAAATATTAAGACATTAAAAAGAAAATATCTGACTGGCAAATGGCTATCAACTATGGAAAGGGGGTAGCAGAGGGAGGAATGGTTTTGTATATGACAGAAAAATAATAAATCTCAAAAACTACTAAACAAACCAAAAGGTGGTATAAAACAAACCAAATTTACAAAGCAACAGGAAAATATTTAGAAACCCAGTAAACTATCAATATTTAGAAGCTAGAGACCATGTTCATAATAACAGTAACTTCCTCAAATTTTATATATCAAATCAATCTATTCTAGTAACTCTGTAAACTCTATTTCAGGTTAATTCAATTTAACAAATAATTATTCAGGACCTTTATATTGCAAAGATTGTGCTAGGCACTAAAGATACTAGGTTAGAAATTAGGCTCCTTAAAAGTAAGTAGCAATAATTATATTTTTACTATCAAGCCAGCTGCTTCAGGATGGTGGGGAACATGATAAGACAAGTGAATTCCATGAACACGGGCCCATTGCTGCATTGCATTTGTTATGAAGTGAGTTCCTTAATCAGAAGCAATTCTGCTATTCTGTGTGGAATACTGTGATGGTGGATAAAGCATTCTGTTAAGTTCATGGGTGGTAGTTTTTGCAGAAGCCACATATGCAGGGAAGGCAACTCTGTATCCACAGTAAGTATCTAGTCCAGTAAGAACAAGTTGCTGCCCTTTTCATGATGGAAGTGGTCCAACATAATCAACCTGCCACCAGGCAGCTGGCTAATCATCTTGGGGAATGGTGCTGTATCAGAGGCTCAGTGCAGACTGGGCACTCAGGGATGGCTGTGGCCAGGTTGGCCATGGTGAGTGGAAATCTGTTGCTGAGCCCATATACAACCTCAATCCATGCTACCATGGCCACTCTGTTCATGAGCCCCGTGGGTGATGGCAGGGGTGGCTGAGGAAAGAGGCCGACTGATATCCAAGAACAGGTCATCCTATCCACTTGATTATTAAAATCCTCCTCTCCTGAGGCCACTCTTTGGTAAGTATTCACATGGGACACAAATAGATTTACATTTTTTTGCTTATTCAGAGAGATTTATCCACATCCCTCTTCCCCAAACATCCTTGTCACCAATTTTCCAAAAATGTTCCTTCCAAGTCTCAGCCAGACCATTGGCCACAGCCTATGAATTGATATATAATCACATAACCGGCCATTTCTCCTCACAAGCAAAATAACAGCCAGGCACAATGTTTCAAGTTCTGCCTAATCAGACAATTTTCCTACACCACTGTCCTTCAGGGACTATAAAGGGACTATAGGGCTAGAGCTGTCCACTTTTGGGTAGCACCTGAATATCATACAAAATGATCTGTAAACAAGGTAAGTCTTCTCTTCCCCTGTCAACTCTCTATAAGGCCACAGGTACAAGGTGAAAGAAAGTAGTTTAGTAGGAGTGGGGACCATGAGTACTTGGGCCATGCCTTCATGTAACTTACTTGTGCCTTCAGGGACTTCTCAGACCCAATCATGTATATACCCCTTCCATTTGATGATGGAGTGCTGCTGTGCATGCCCAACGTTATGGGTGGTGGATCAGATAACACCCAGCTCATGATGGGCAGCTCAGATCACATGATAACTTGGTGGCCCATGGTTAATCATTGTGTCTCTACTAAGGCACAGTAGCAGGCCATGAGCTGTTTCTCAAAAGGACAGTAGTTATCTAGAGAGGATGGCAGGGCTTTGGGCTTTGCTCCAAAATCCTAATGCCCTGTGCTACAATTCACCTACAAAGGGCCTGCCAAAGGGGCCAAATAGCATCTCTTATCTGTCACTGATACTTCAAACGCTATTGGACCTGCTTGATCATATGGCCTAAGTAGCAAAGCAGCTTGCAAGGCTGAACCTGTTGCAAAGCCTTCTCCCGCTCTGAGCCCCATGCAAAACTAGCAGTATTCAGGTCACTTGGTAAATGGGCTGGAGTAACATATCCAAATGAGAAATAGGTTGCTTCTAAAATCCAAAGAAGCCAACAATGTATTTTGCCTCTTTTTAGCTGTAGGACGGGCCAGGTGTAACAACTTATATTTCACCTTAGAAGGGATAACTCAACATGCCCCATGTCACTGGACTCCTGGAAATTTCACTGAGGTAGAAGGCCCCTATACTTTTTCCCTTTTTTACATTTTAAAAAAATTGAAGTATAGTTAATTTACAATATTGTGTTAGTTTTAACTGTATAGCAAAGTGACTGAGTTATACATATATGTATATTCTTTTCCAGATTGTTTTCTATTATAGGTTATTATATGATATTGAGTATACTTCCCTATGCTATGCAGGAGGTCCTTGTTGTTTACCTATTTTATATACAGTAGCATATATATGTTAATCCTAAACTGATTTATGTCTCCCCCAACCCCTGCTACCCCTTTGGTAACCATAAGTTTGTTTTCTATGTCTGTGAGTCTATTTCTGTTTTGTAAATAAGTTCATTTGTATCATTTTTTTTTAGATTCCACATGTGAATGATATTATATGATACTTGTCTTTCTCTAACTTACTTCACTTAATATGATAATCTCTAGGTCCATCTATGTTGCTGCAAATGGCATTATTTCATTCTTTTTTATGGTTGAGTAGTATTCCACTGTGTGTGTGTGTGTGTGTGTGTGTGTGTGTGTGTGTGTGTGTGTGTGTGTGTGTATACCACATCTTCTCTAGCCATTCATCTGTCTATGGACATTTAGGTTGCTCCCATGCCTTGGCTATTGTATATAGTGCTGCTATGAATACTGGGGTGCATGTATCTTTTCAAATTATAGTTTTCTCTGGATATATGCCCAGGAGTGGGATTGGGTGGATCATACAGTAGCTCAATTTTTGTTTTTTTTAGGAACCTCCATACTGTTCTCCAGAGTGGTCACACCAATTTATATTCCCACCAACAGTGTAGTAGGGTTCCTTTTTCTCCACACCCTCTCTAGCATTTATTATTTGTAGACTTTTTAATGATGGCCATTCTGACTGGTGAGAGGTAATATCTCATTGTAGTTTTGATTTGCATTTCTCTAATAATTGGCGATACTGAGCATCTTTTCATAGGTGCTTGTTGGCCATCTATATGTCTTCTTTGGGGAAGTGTCTATTTAGATCTGCCCGTTTTTTGATTGGGTTGTTTGTTTTTTTGATATTAAGCTGTATGAGCTGTTTGTATATTTTGGAAATTAAGCCCTTGTATGTAGCATCATTTGCAAATATTTTCTCCCATTCTGTAGATTGTCTTTTTGTTTTGTTTATGATTTCCTTTGCTGTGCAAAAGCTTTTAAATTTAATTAGGTCCCATTTGTTTATTTTTGGTTTTATTTCTATTACTCTAGGAGACAGATCCAAAAAGATATTGCTGCAATTTATGTCAGAGAGTATTCTGCCTATATTTTCCTCTAGGAGTTTTATAGTCTTACATTTATGTCTTTAATCCATTTTGAGTTTACTTTTGAGTATGGTGTTAGAGAATGGTCCAATTTCATTCTTTTACATGTAGCTGTCCAATTTTCCCAGTACCACTTACTGAAGAGACTGTCTTTTCTCCATTATATATTCTTGCCTCTTTTGTCATAGATTACTTGACCATAGGTGCATGGGTTTATTTCTGGGCTTTCTATCCTGTTCCATTGATTGAGTTTTGTGCCAGTACCATACTGTTTTAATTACTGTAGCTTTGTAGTATAGTCCAAAGTCAGGAAGGTTGATTCCTCCAGCTTCGTTCTCCTTTCTCAAGATTACTTTGGCTATTTGGGGTCTTTTGTGTTTCCATACAAATTAAGAAATTGTTTTTTCTACTTATGTAAAAAATGCTATTGGTAATTTGATAGGGATTGCACTGAATCTGTAGATTGCCTTGGAGTACAGTCATTTTAACAATATTGATTCATCCAATCCCAGAACAGGGTATATCTTTCCATCTGTTTGTGTTGTCTTCAATTTCTTTCATCATCTTCTAAGTTTTCAGAGTACATGTCTTTAGGCCCCTGTACTCTTGTTGGATTTATCTCCCCTTTCTGAAACACAGATGTCTTACCAATAAGTCTACAGTAGTTGCTACTTTGTTCTCACTAGGTCCAATCAGCATAATGTTATCAATGTAATGGACCAGTGTGATATCCTGTCGAAAGGAAAGTAATCAAGATCCTT